GTCTCCAATTATATTTCACCATTCCTATAATATAGTAAATAGTATAAAAAACACACATCATAGTCCGTTTCCTTGAATTTTGCGATATATACTTAATCTGTTTGATATGTAATATATTTGAATCATTTTGCAAGTTCATTGTTCCTCTTGGATTGGTCATTCTGATTCAGCAAGGAAGAAATAAGGAAATGTGTGTAAAGGTCTCATAGTTATACCAAGGCCACACAATTTTGTCATTCCATCGTATAACCGGTTTACTAACGTTGTAAACTATTATGATGCTTTTTACTTGGCAATAATTAATCATTTTATATTTTGTACGAAGAAAAGTTTTTATAACCCTGTGTAGAAAGAAAAAAACAAATCTTTTGAATCCTATATTCGTTTATGCCAGACTTAGTAGTGTTAACTCGCTATGTTGCTTGTATATGTATGACTCATCAGTCATTTAATTAACACAATACAGTTTATAGTAGTAACTGTTAATTATATTAAAATCAGATTAAATTCTTACTATAGATAATAAAATATTTATACAATGACACGTCTTATATCCTAATTTGAATAAGTTAAAATTACTTATTTTAAAAATCTATCGTGTTATTATTTATCATAATAATTTATAATAAAATAAAATAGTTTTATGTTTTGATAAATAAAAGACGAAACACGCGCGTCCACCGTAAAATATTTATTTATTAAAAATGCGATGAGTGATTTTTTTAAATCGTTTTTATGAATTATGTGTACTATAATCGATTACGACAATATATTTATTATTACTTAAACATTGTTCAAAATAAACAAATAATATTTTTACTATTTTGCCCTCATTGGTTACTATACAGCACATACTAATAACTAATGGATCTCGAATTTTCAAGATATTTTTTTTACACTTTTATGTATTAAAAAAATTCATCAATTTTTATATGCCTTGTTCGATATGTATGATTTATTATAAAGGATGTTTCAAAAGTAACACAGGATTTAAATCTGCTATAAATTAAATCAATTTTTTTTTAAAAAAACATAACAAATACATCATTCTCTTCAAGAGAAGTTAAGTTTTAACAGTGAAAAACAATATCGGGCATATGATCTTCCCTACTAGCCCTACAGCCAATTATTTTTTCCATAACATTTAACATCAATGGATAACACATTTTCCCATCAAGTTTGTTGAGAATACGACGAATTTCTTGATTAAGTTCCAAGACTTTTCGAACTTTGTTCTGGTAAACTCGTGACTTAGTCTAACCCTTTAAGAAAAAATTACATGGTTTCAAATCGTAAGATCGAGGTGGGTAGCTTTGGCCACACAACGAAATTAGTCTGTCCAGGAACTTTTCATGCAGCAGAGTGATCGTTTCTCTTGAAGTGTGACAAGTTGAAACCAAACATTTTTATGTTCATTTGGTCCGAATAAGGCCAAAGAAAATGACTGAGCTTAGTAGGTATTTTTGATTACAACAAGACGGCGCTACTTGTTACACTTCAAGAGGGATAGTAGGGAGGGTCATATGTCCGATATTGTTTTTCACTGTTAAATCTTAACTTCTCCTGAAAAGAATGATATATTTGTTATGTTTTTTTAAAAAAATTGATTTAATTTATAGCAAATTTAATTCCTGCGCTCTTTTTGAAACAACACCCTATGTATATGTACAGAATCTTAACGCAGTTTATACCAACTCTATGAGTAATTGTGGCAATTGGGAACTCAGTCTTTTTAGGAATACTTTTTATACTTAATCGATAGTAGCTATAACGCGTAAAGTCGATTTGAACCGTTTTAAAGGTGTCTCAAAATTGTATCGCCTACCATCAAGACGTATTTTATTCTCGCTCCAACTCGACCACGTGCCGACTTGTATCTCATTGATTTTTATTTGCGTATACTATATATATAAAGTGACACGGTTAAATGATTGATTATCCTGCGTAAAAAAAGGGTGTAATGATAACGATGTTGTGAATGCGTACTTCATTATCAAAGCGGTTTTAGATATATCGATAGAATCCATGAAAATACTATATTGTACCTTTTTCACCGGCAATAATTTTTTTTATAAAAAAGGAACAGAATCTGAGGAAAGATTTTAACTTAAAACTCAATTTTATATAAACCGTTTTGTCGATTTTATACTCAATCGTGGACGTGATGAATATACGGTTTGATAAAACGATACATATGTTCTACCCTGATACATAACATATTACTACCACCGGTATTGGTGGCGTTTAACAATTGTTTTTCTTAAATCTACTTAGATGAGGGGGTGTTGTCAATCGGTCGAATCGAATTGTTTCCGATTAGAGATAAAGTATAGGGGTGCAATCGTAGATATATTATGTGCGCGTATAGGACTACAAATACGTTCGAAAAATCCCGCCCATTCCAAAAACGGGAAATTGGGCGAGTTGCATGCAATCGAAAGCCACTAATTTAAAAATAAAATTTACTGTTTACCGTTGTATTGCAATGCTTATTTTATTTTTCCAATTCGCATACGAAAACAAAAGTTTGACGGTAGTCATAATGTAAAACTCTCTAGAATGAGGTGTCCGGAAACGTACGGCTTCTGTGCTCAACTCAGCCACGTAGTAGCAGTTGAATAATAATAATAAAAGTACGTATAATAACAGTTTAATTATGATAACAAGATAATTCGACGGGTATCCATGCGTAATTGTTTTCAGTTTAATCGCAATAATATTATAGATATCGTTTGTCGAATTTTTTCTTCGGATCAACATTATTAATGTCGAGAAAAAACGATCGAAACTTGTGTTTTTAAAAACGTAAGCTAGTGCGCGCGCGCGCCAAAGTTGGAGCGTGTGTAGGTGTGAGTGAGCGTGTGTACTCTCATTCACGACGGCGGCGGCGGCGGCAGCGACTTTGACCGACGTGAGGGGAAGTCGAGGGGGAGGAGACAAGGTCGGATGACTAATGCGGGAGAGGTTATGATGTTTTATATACCCGCAGCCGGTTTGGCATTTTACGATCCGCGTAGTATGTGTTTATATATCGCGTTTCCCCTCCCCGCGTGCTCCCCGGAAACACCTCCCACCAAGCCCCGCCCCGCGCAGCCGTAGCTTTGTAACGTTGTCGACGGGATGGCGGCGGGGAGACTCCGGAGGACCGCGTGTGACTGTCGCTCGCGCAGATTCGAACGATGCCGCATAGCCGTTCATAACCGACTCACAATCGCAACGAACCGCACGTCCGTCCGTCGCGTACCGTGGCGAGAACCAGACGCGGAATAGTAAAACATGAAAGTATAGTGACGATCGTTCGGTGACATTAGTTTATTGATATTATTGAATACTTGTGACGGACTCGTGCACACGTATCGTCTATAGCAGTATTGTGTGTCATAAAACTTTTTTATTTTTTCCGTTTTCGTTCTCGTTCCGATACAGGCACGTGCGCTTTGGACTCGGCTGTTCGTTGTGTGCCGGTTCCGCCGTTTACGAAACGTGATCACCTTTTTTCGATTTCAATATTATTTATGTAATTAATACTCGTATTCGAAGAGACGACACGACACGGTCGCATCATTCCGCCGACACTGCTGTGTGCGTAGTGTTGTTCTTCTCGTTGCACTCCCGTCGACTTTCGCCGAGAAATCCCGATATGACTGCCGCGGTTGGACACAAGAAACTCACGTTGAAGCTTAAACTATCTCTGGACCCTTGCGCCACGTGGAGTCGAATCCGCTCAGGTACATGAGCAATAATACACACACACATATACGATAATACGTATATACGTATCGTATAATTGCATCGCGATTACTGCGGTTTCTGCTTGGGTCATTTGTGTCTACCGCAAATTTCCGTATAGGCCCCGGGGATCATGGTGGCGAAATTTGTACGGAATCTTCAAAAATAGAAGATTAAATTATCAATCGAATTTGCAATACATATCATTAATTGTTTCTGTACAACTATGCGCCTCGTACCATCGTATATATTCCTTACAAAATGTCTTTCCGTGTCTCGATTGAGATACTGAAATATTTCTATAAAAACCGTATCAAATGTCTACTATATAACTTTGCTACATATCTCCGTAACTGTATTGTTATTGTAATTGTAATTATATAAATATTGTATTTCCGCTATTATTTGGTTTCCAGCAATTATTTATATGTTGTTATTCCTTTTTTTAAAATCAAATAATTATTTATCGTACGTGGCATAAATACACGTTTGTCGTAGTAAAATATATTTAGTATACATTTGATTCCGCTTGTTATTTTACTTCCGTTTAGATGTGTTACCGTTACTTATATGTAATGTTTATACAATTATATACTGTTTCGTTGGTGATTGTTTTGAGATTTGGTAAAACAAACACTGTTTATATATTTTTTCCTTTTTCGTTTGTTTATAAAAGAAGTTTATATAGTGATAGTTTACGAAAACTACTACTAAAATTAAATTGAATATATAACCTTAATACGATCGCTTTCAAAATACTTTAAACCAGAAAGTTTTAATGATTCAGAAAAGAATTACTACGCGATTACTCATAGCTACAATACTTAATAATCTTACTATATATACGATGTATACAGTTATTTTATTTTTTTACGTACGAAATGGTGTTATTTTTACACTTTAAATGTTGATAAAAGTGTTATATTTATTTAATTTAATTTCTTACTAAATTATTTCCTTATTTTAAAACTAAAACGTCTAGGACAGCTTATATTAATACCATATAAAGTATTTTAAAATTATAATGTTTTCAAAAGTGTTATTCTATCTTTATAAACAAAAATGTTTTCTTCATTTCGTGTACAAACATCGATTCTGTTTGTAAAACACGACCATTGCATGTATTCATTTAGTCAATGAAAAATTAATGATTTTTTTCCACTGTAACGATTTATGTAGATTATAATAACAGTTTTTTTTTATAATTGATCTAAGCCAGTTTTCGTTTTATTTTCTGATTAGTTTTCACAGAATTTTTTTTTATTTCGCAGGTGGGCACAAAGAGTTTCACTCTCGACACAAGGACATGTGCGAAAACTCATTGTTGCAGGCACCATTAAGCGCCAGCTGCACGCAGGACGCGGCCCGCGAATTAATGGACACCCATCCTCTCACCAAGGTGCTGCCATTCTTGTATCTGGGTAACAGCAAGGATGCCGACGACCGGGACGGTATGACCGCCAACGGGATAACACGTGTGCTAAACGTGACAACCAGCCAACAGTCCCCGTCGCCGACCATGGACCACCGAACCTCTGGCATCGTGTATAAACGTCTGTCAGTGCTAGACAATGGTCACGCTAACCTTAAACAGTACTTCGAGGAAGCATTTGAATTTATTGGTAAGTTGCACTGTCCGACTTATTTTGACCTTATACAAGCGTCCGAAAAATCTCCGGCGGACATTTCAATGGTTAAATTTTATCATAAATATGCATGGAACCATAAGCTTTATACCCTTGTTTATCGTAATACGTTCGTTGGTTAAATGCGCGCCAAATAATATCAATGTTTATTGTTGTGATACTGCGACAAGGGGTGAGCGAGCTGTTGTTACGGGGGCATGGAGGATTGTTCTACTGCGCAATCATCTGCACGAGGACGGTGTGTATGTGTGAAATATAGCGGAAAAACAGAAACCTCCCCTGATGGTGCTTCCCCTTAGCCCCGCCGTGAGTCATGTACATAGTGACAGCTGTATACTTCGCGCGCAGGGCACTCGATTGTAGATGACGTCACCCGTTTTTGACCGAGTTTTATTGTTTGAATTGTTTCCGACGCGGTGTCTGTCCCTCATTCGCGCATGTTGACATCACGTTGACGGCGGACACCCCGCCCGGAAACGCAAGCAGCCGCACGCCCTATTCTCTCGCCTACTTCTACTCCTCTTCGTCCGCTGCTGCGCGTCGTGCGAGACGAAACGGTGCAACGATGTGTTTGAAAACGCCACAGGAAACTGTGTACGATGTGCATGTGCACGCGCGCACCCAAAATCCCTGCAGGAAACGTCCATGTTATTGTTTTACGTGCACGAAACCGCGTTCACCGCACACGTGTGTATAAGAGCGGATTTCTAGACGAGCGCGCCGCCGCCGGTGCGGTCGCGCTTTAGCCATTTATAGCTCATCGGCGCGCACGACCACCTCTCTCTCTCCGGCATGAGTCATATTATCATTACGCTGCCGAGCCGTGTTCACACCGATATCGGTATTATTATTATACACGATTGTGATATTTACGTCGTAGTCGTAACCCACTGCTACTCGCTGCAGACCGTTCAATCCGTGTGCGCGTGTACACATGTTTCACATGCGTGTGCGTACAAATATTGTCGTCGGTTCGAGATTATATTATATTTATATACCTACCCGTAGCCGCCGGCTGGTGTGCACTCCCCTAAAACACTGCTAATGACTCATATACGTGTGCGTACCCGGACATAACGCAATCGCCCTGTGATTGTCACCCCTTTACCCGTCGTGCGCGACCCCTATATTATAAACGTTCGCTAGGGGCACCGCCGTCGCGTATACTATACACACGTGACCCGTTGACGTTACGACGGGGATGACGTCATGGAAGCTCCTGTTGCCCTCGTATACGCCACCCGAACGCACGCCGTGCACTATTAATTTCAATAACGTACCGTGGGAGGATCCTGCAGCGGCGGCGCGACTTGAGCGTGGAAATCTTAAATTAGAACATCACGCGGCGCAATGCCTACACCGCTGCTGTTTTTATACATATATAAACACGTTGAGCATAACACAGAAAGAATAGTGTAGCGCAGGGGGAATTACACGGCAGTTGAAATAGACGCACGAGCTAGAATCCTCTGAAGCCAAAATTAAAATTATAGATTGGACGTACGCGCACCACACGAGGTTCGATTTAACGCTGGACGTCTACCAGATCCGACCACAGTTGCTCTTTTATAGCCAAATTCGGATGCTGCGTGCGACTTGTTTATTTCTGGCCCAGTCGTTAGCTAAAATTAACCTCAAAACATACGCCACGACGTCGTTTATTGACGATGCGCTCGATGAGTCACTATTGTGTGTTTTGTATACCAGTAAATAGGTGCTGTGCAAGACGTATATAGTGGTGTTTTGTGTACAGATGGCTGCTGCCTGTTGTACACTATCTGTGCCAATATTGATTCGGGGGGATTAAACAAAATAAAACCGCACGCACGCGCCAATAATATTATAAGTTACAAAACGTCAATCGACCCGACCGTATATTGTTTGCTTTCGTGTACCGACTAAGCTCGGTTGCTTTGCAGCGAAGGAGGAAACTTCACTCGCTCGACGACTTGATTAGCATTGCTCGTCACTTTACACGGTCCTTCGTCCTTAATCGTTTTCCTCCGAGTAAATAACTTGATCATAGGCGTAAACGGGGAGGGGGGGCAAGGGGTGGCAATTGTCCCCCTAGAATAAATTAGGAGGGGCAGTGCCCCTTCTGATATTTAACATACTTTGTTTTAAAATAAGTACAAAACAGCTGGTTATAGCTTTTATATACTATAACATTTTTTTTTTTTTTAATTCTTTATTTTAAATTTTCGCTTATCTAACAGTGTTAGAAAATTAATAATTTTATATAATAATATGTAGGTAGTAAAGCAGCGTTTAGCTTCGGACACCCTTTTCGTTAGTTATGTAATTATATTTTTGCCCCCCCCCCCTAATAAATTTCCCCAATTACGCATATGAAATAGTTCGTCGTCGGCCATAATCAATGTTTGATTGTTTACAGAGGGCGCTCGGAAATCCGGAGGAAGCGTACTGATACACTGCCAGGCCGGTATCTCGCGGTCCCCGACCATCGCGATCGCGTACGTGATGCGACACCGGAAGATTTCCATGGTCGACGCTTACAAGACGGTGAAAGCTGCGCGGCCGATCATTTCACCGAACCTAAACTTTATGGGGCAGCTGTTGGAGTTGGAGCAAAACTTGCAGTACGAACAACAACAACAACAACAACAACAACAGCAGCAGCAGCAGCAACAGTCACCTCGCTGCGGCCATTCCTGGGCCGCTGTCCAACAGCAGTCCGCGGCCGACGAACTACTGTCGCCCGGGTGCAGTACATAACGTGGCTCGGCCTCATCCCTTACCTACTCAAAACCCGACCATCGTGCGCTACGATCCGGGTTTACGCGTGTGCAGGACAGAGACAAGGTATCGTGTCCCCGCTTCGGGCATGTTTTAAGATAAATATATGTATATATATCATTACGTTTGAGATATTCCAACCTATTAATGTGTTCCTATAATTAGTGTATCCACTCTCTTTTTCTCTCACCTCTCTATATATATATATATATATTTTTTTCTATTTCTCTCTCTCTCCCTCTCTCTCTTTTACTCTCAAGCACACGCACATTCATTGTCGCGCGCGCAAATTTTCAAATAGAATAAATATAGTATAGATATGTTGAGAAAAAAATAAATATTAAAAATTAAAGTTAAATGTTTAATAATATATACGTACGTACGTATGTTTAAGAATGTGAAAATTTATAAATATTGTATTATTGTTGTTGCGACGAATATAAACTGCGTGTACCGTTTGAATCTGGGACGTATTTTTCGCGGTTGGGCGCAACATGGCACTTGACACGAATCGAGAAAAACAAGCATTATCTAGTCTTGCAAATTGTACATAGTAATAAGAAAATTATTATTACCCGCTGAGACTACTATTTTTTAAAAAATTACACCATTATTATTATATATTAATATCGAAAAAAAAGATGAACATGTATGTATGTTTTTTTTTTAATTTAACAAAAAGTAAAGGCTGTGTTTGTAGATATTAGTATAATGATTATAATATGTATCCCCCTCCCAACATGTATTTTAAATTTTTTTTTATTTGTAATTTGAGTCAACATATAATGTTTGTTTGTATTTTATATTTTACCATCCAAATACAAAAACGAATACATTGAAAACATAAACGTAACGTATTTTAAACACTGTGTTTTTATGATTTAATCGCGTCGGTATGTACGAGGCAGTTCTACCATTGGTATACGGGCAGACGTCTTACAATGCGATGGCGCAAACACGTATGAATCACACTGCGCACATATCGTAACATAAAAGATAATGAATCATGTTATTAGTCCTGCCACCGGTTTAACATCGTCGTCAGAGGCTTAAATCTAGGGGAACAGGGGGATAGGAGTCAACTGCCCCCTTAATTTAGTAGGTGGATAGAAATCGATCGATACTCGATGATCAATATTCAGACTCAACCATAAGCTATGATCAATACAATTAAAACGTAATTTATGTTATACGAGTGCAGCGACCAATTTATTTTTATACAGTATTGAATTATTTTTGTCCTCCTTTCCCCAATAGTTCTAACTAGTTCGTGCCTCTGATTGTCTGCCGTTGTTGGTGTTGCTGTCGTTACGGATCGATGTTTGCGTGCGAATCGAGAAACGTAGACGTATCAATGTGCGATTCCTTAGGACGCGGGTGGTACGTGCCAGTACTGCTTCACCGGTTAATTATCTAGAGAACTGCAGACGCGCGTGGCAGGGACGTGTGTTCGAAATAGAAACTAGCCGCGCACGTCTCTTGCAACGCATTTTTTACTGCTGGGAATTCGTCATTGAGCTGCACTTTTATGTCATATGGCTATGAACGAAATCAAAGCGGGGCGGGAAAAACTGATCGAAAATTGTGGACGACAGGATTCGGAACGTTCGCCGTAAACGGATATGCGTCCGACAGGGATAAAAGGGGTACAACGGTTGCATAATACGAGAACGTACGGACGGCGACACGTACATTTTGTGCGGTCGAAAACGCATCGGACCTGTACGGGAAACGTAAAGGTGATAGATTCTGCGCGAGTTTGCAGGGTGGCTAGAATAAGACCCGATCGGGTTCAGTTGTGAATCGAGACGGCCCTCACACCATTCTGACTGATTTTATCGTAAGCATCCGTCGCGACGAACGAGAATTTCGGAACCAAATCGTGCAGCAGCATCTCACCGTACAACGTGCAGTGTTGAGATCCGAGTTTCGCGAGTTCGCAAAGCACCGGGGCCTCGAAAACCTAAACTGACAATTGTCTGTTATTTTTAACGCTTTTTTTAAATTTACTTTTTAATGTACATGAATTACGTTTTTTTTTTTTTTTTTAGTTTTTAATACATTAATATGTATTTAATAAATATATCAGTTTTATGATGAGTAAAATTTTTTTTTTTTTAACGGGCCTCTTATTGTTACTTATCTCCTGATACTTAATTCCGTCACTGACAGTGTATATTAGCGTGTGCTCACTGCACGGTACTTTGTTGTTGTTAACCAGCACAGTTCACGTACACCGCAGCCGTTACAGCCTTGCAGATCAGTACGTGAGCATATCGGTTGGCCGTTTTCGGACCCAAAGTCTCTATTACGTGGTGTCATTGGATCCACGTTTGCCGTGCTTCACGATTATACCTAGTGTACATCCACACACGATCCATTATTGTTGACGACGCGTTAGTTCATCTAAAAGACAAAATAATTACGTAATATTGAGAAAATATTGTTGTGCTATAAAGGCGTCTTGATGTACAGAAATGATTTTTTTGGATAATGGCGTCAACATTTTTATTCGGCATAGGGTCGGTAGATTGCTAGTCCCGCCTATGAGCGCGACCTTCATCGCGGTAATCGGACCACGTCGAAAACGGTAATGTGTGGGTGCACGGGCGCAGCGCAATCGTCCACCAGAACCGGTTGACTGACCGATAGATGCGTGATCGCGTTCCCAACCAAAGAATGGTTCGATCGGGTTTTTTCTTATTATTATTTTATTTTTACCATCGTCGGCTTTTCCTAAGTCGTTTGTATACACTTCCGCTGCTGCGGTCGTCGTCGTGAGAATAACGATTCGGTGTTGCTACGGATCACGATGGGACTGAAAGTAATTTATTTATGTATAGGTATTTTACATTTTAAACGGGCCAGGACCAGTGGCACACAGAAGATTTTTGACAAGGGTGTCGAAAATATATATTTCGAGGTATCCATCCACCCCTACCGGTAAAATCTGAGTTTATGCATAGTATAACTCTTATTTTTAAGTGTTTTTGGTTTTTTCTTACTAACAAAGATACTAAAAAAAAATTTTTAAAATAAACCTAATATTAATTATTTTTTAATTTTCTAGATATTAATTTATAAATTTGTATAGCATAATTTTTGTGATTGACCACTACTACTTATTCTCATATGACGCTTTAGTTCTATAGTTCTAGGGTAAACATAATTAGTATGTTGATTTGGATAGCTGAATTGTTTAGTATTAAATTAAACAGATATTCATACAAGTTCACACAGTACTAGCCATCCTCCAATTTTCTGAGTAGTGTCAGTCGACACCCCTGACCCTCCCTGTGTGCGCCACTGGCCAGGACCTCCATTACGTACATTAAATCAGCGATTCCCAAAGTGTGTTCCGCGGAACCTAAGGGTTTCGTGGGACAATCTTGAGGGTTCCGTGAGATGTACCTGAATATTGAGAACAGTAATTGTAGTAAACAATAATCATGAACTGTCTTTAAAACATTTTTTGATTATTAGTTTTTCAATAATAAAAATAAATGCAAATACAAATAATTACAGAATTGATGTTAAGTTGGAGTTAGAGATGTTAGGGGGTTCCATGAAACAAAAATATTTCTTAAGGGTTCCATGGTCATAAAAGTTTGGGAACCGCTGCATTAGATAATAACAATCGTTCATAGATAATATGATGTAACGATTATATGTTCGCTGGGAATTTCGTTTTCGAAGACTTAGAATCACGCATTCGGAAGATCGCAATTCCCAATCCGGTTTCTTGCACCGTTGGTACTCCCAGAATACACGCGGTCCAAACCTGTGCTTGTGAAAGGCGTTGTAGTTAGCAGCCTACACAAGTTTTTGGAGCGTTCCTCGTCCTTATTAGGCAAACTGTTGTCAACCATAGTGACCACACGAGATCATTTCGGGAAAAGGTTGTGTATCCGGGACTAGATGATAATTTTTTTAACTTACGACATGAACGAATAACATCGGCTCGATACAGTGCAATGCGGTTTGTTTCACCTGTTGTATTGTATTCGCGCAATGTGTTGTATTCGATCGTGCACGCGTGTCGTCATTCCTTACCCGTACAAATATTAAGTGATTCGCGCTTTCCGACTTTCCGGTACACAAAGCTTTCTGCAGTGCGAGCCGCAGTTACAATCCCGACCAAAGGATCGAATTTTACGGCTCGGGCGGGTCCTCCGGATATTCATCTGCGCCGCCACCGTCACGCAAGTACCTTCGTCACTTCGTCATACTCTCGTCGTCGCCACACTAAAAATATATCGCGCAACGCGTATTGTATACTGTCGACGGAACATTAACGCCCTTTTGAGTTCGTTACGGAAAAAACGCAAGACGCATCACGCGGACATCTGAAGGATTTGGCTTTGAACCGAAGCTTTTCACCTTTCCATGTATTTGTGCGTACACATGATACGCTGATCGCGTATTGTAGTCACCCTAATCTTGGGGTATTAACCCATGTGAAAACCGTACAGCGGCATAATTCGCTTCCCCCGCGTGTTTGTCGCTTTGAATTTTCACGGCGGATTTACGCGTCCCCGACGATTGATTCTCTCGACAGGTTTTAATCCCGAGTTTACATCGGACCGGTGCAGCTCGTTGTCGATGGGGTCTGTCGTTGCGGCGTACGGCGTGCCGCCGTCGACTCGTATTGCTGCAGGGGAGATGATGAGTCAAACCGAAAATCCCTTTCCAAACAACCGTGCGACCGACCGGAGGCCCATTCAAACTTGTATTTTTTACCCTTTGTACGGGCTATTAGTCATCTAGCGACTCTCCTCTTTATTATTATTACTATTATTATTATGAGTACACTTCAGCCAGCGCGTACATACACAGCAGTCGGCCGCACAGCGGCGGCGGATTGAATGACATCATCCGCGGCGACTGCAATACGGAAGGGCGCAAATATTATATTATATGACTAATGACAATAAATCGCAAAAGACCGACACGCACACACACACAGACTAACCGGGTGATAATGCTGCTCGTAT